TGACACTTGCTTGAAGAAACAGCGAAAAAAACGGAGGAAAAAGAAAAAAATTCCCAGAGAAAATTTTTTTGCTCCTTACTCCTGACGCTAGGCAAAAAACTGGAGACTTGTCAGCAAGTGAGGGGTTGGGCCACCAGCAGGGGCCGCCCCTAGGCTGTCTTGTCTTTTTAGTTATGTGCCTAGCGTCCTACTCCTGCAGGTGGCGATATACCCTACCATTCAGGATCTACGATCTGTTGCCCTGTGTCCTTCAATGAACGGGAGAGAAAAGGGGTCTATTTATGTTTTCACCCAAAAGTCACACAATGTTCACTGAATCTTGGGTGAAAGTTGTATAATTCTTTTGTGAGAAAAATGTAAAAAACAGACCTCTAAGAGTCACGACAAGCCAAATACCATCCATTCCCCAGAATAACACACCAGCAGCATTTTCTTCTACGCTAACCTCCCCAGTGTGCCCCCCCTTAGAGACTTCATACTTATACTATAAGGCAGGGGTAGGAAACCTCGACACTCCAGCTGGGGTGAAACTGCAAATCCCATCATGCATCTGCCTCTGAGAGTCAGGCCTGTGGCTGTCAAAGTCTTGCATTGCCTTCATGGGACTTGTATTTCCACAACAGCTGGAGGGTTGAGGTTGCCTACCCCGCTATAAGGCTTTCTTCTATAAAGTCCTGTTGCCCAACCTGTGGCCTTTCTGTACTTTTAATGCAGCGCCCCCTGAGCCCAGCAGTGAGTAGAGGAAGTACTGATTTGTACATGGACTTCCATAACAGCGATCTCGATCAGTCTCCTGTAACAAGTTTCTGGTCCGTCTGTACACTGCAGCATGTATCCAGTCTCCAACCACACAGGTAGCATATCAGCAGTCTCTGACCATCTCCTGTATTATGTCCACACACAGCCTTTGTAGCATCTCATGTACTGAAAATTATATGCGGCCCTTTGGTAACATCAGGAGCCACATATGAGGCCCCCCCATACCTTATAAGTTAACAACCTCTGCTTAAAAGCATAACTCCATCCAACATGTTCTTTTTATAGTTTTAGATACAGTGGGGTGGAATAAAAATGCACAATATATTTTTAATAAACGTGAACGTTCAATCTGAGCAAAGGGAGGCAAACATGATTGTTATTTTCAGGCCCAGTCTATGACATGTAATACCACATCATGGCCACTAGATGGAGCTAAGGGAGCATAGGAACTAAAAACGTATTTCCTCAGCTCCAACTAGTGGCCAAACTGCAGTATTACATTACAGAGATTCAACTTGAAAAGTACATTCATTTTTGTCTCCATTCGTGCAGAATGAACCTTCACAGATATTCTCAGGTCAAATGGCTCTGTAGATTGTTTAAAAATAGACCCCTTAATGTCCATAATGATAAAACAAATACAAGACATTCAAACAGGAAAGAAGCTATACCAAGAATGTTTGTTTTTGCCTTCATTCATGCAAAACGAACGTTCACAGGGCGATTGGCTCTGCAGATTGTTTATAAATAGACCCGTTAATGTCTTAAACACTGCAATCAGTGGCCAACCGGCTTGAAAGGGTCTCTCCACCAGCTTAAATATGTTGAAAGATTCCAACAAAAGATCAGTAATCATTAGAACGAATTTATTAACATATCTGCATCATGCAGAACAGCCGGAACATGCATCTTCCTTACAGTATTATAAACCTCTTCTCAAAACTGGCAGAAGGGCAACTGCAAGAGTACAAAGGGTGTTTTGACGATAGAACCATAGACATTTATAGAGGAAGACCTTCACCTGTTTACAGAAGCCACTTAACCAGAAGCTAGAGAAATTAGGTGGACAGACTCAAAGAAAGTCACTGTACAGCTCCCAGGAATGTAGTGCTTACCACAGCAAGCTTTTCAAATCATCTTCAAAACCAAATGAGAAGATCAGGTCGGCTTCATCGATCACCATGGCTTGGAGGGTATCGCGCACACACAGCGTTCCCTGATTCATGTGACAAAGTACTCTGGATGGTGTTCCCACCACAATGTCCGGCTTCTCCATGAGGATTGGCCTGAAAAGGAAAAAGGAACCCCCGGGTCAATCAATGCGTGCCATGTCTACAGAGGCACAGATGGCTGTCCTGGAAGAACACTTACCTCTGGGCAGAAACGTCCACCTGCCCGGAGATGTCCGCCACTCTTATGTCGCGGGCACAGTAGAACGTCAGCTGACGGATCATCTGCTGGACCTGCTGGCCAAGTTCCTTGGTGGGTACCAGGATCAGGACCCGGACTGCCTGCTCGGAGACGGTCTGAAAGCAGAAGAATATGAAGATGTGAGTACACCGCAGGGGGGGGGGGGGGGGGGATACTCCACACCGCGGCCGGG